CCCCTCTATCCTTTCCACTACCTCCTGGATACACTATACAGACCAGACCTACGTCATATCCTTGCTTCTTATAACAACCTGTTCTCCTTCCTCAGATGCATAAATATCCTTCACCTGATCTAATTCCCTTAGCTAACCCACCATAACCCTTTCCTTCATCAACCCCCTTACCCATCTTCAACTTTCCAACATTACTCTAGATAGTTGACGCATAAGAACTATCACCTGACATCACCCTTTACTATACTTTCCTATAGTGTTATATGACCTTAGATGTCTAGCACATTTATTTCGCTTTTAACCATTAACCATTAACCATTCCTCTTCTGACCTCCTAAGGTGTGAGAGCTGTGCTAAAAGGATTAAAGGCTGGAGTTGTGTCAGTCGTGAATGGTCTTCATACTCCATTCACTCTTCCCTCTTTACCCTTTTCACTACCAAACTATCCTACAGTGGTTTACAACCTTTGACATCAAACATATATTTTCCTCATTGTTAACTCATTTTTAACCATTTTCACTACCAATATTTTATCATGGTGCTGTATGATGTTTGATGTCTGGCACGTTTATGTTTTGACCATTAATTGTTCAGGGAATCTACAAACATTGACTTTTAACTTAAACCTAAAAACTTCCTTACCTAGAGGCTCCGCCCCCAAACCTCGCCCTATCACTATACATTTGAGTAAGCCACAAATGACCTTAGATGTGGCAGAAATTTTCAACAAATTAACATAAATATACCATAGTATGTTATACAAAATGTTTCCATAAAGTTTAATAAATGATTATCCCATAAAAGGTTGGTAACATTACTTGAATATCTATTCCCAACTACATCGTTATTCCACAAAAAAGTAGCCCACCCCATACAGAAGTTAAATCTGAAAATTGTGTACCATACTGAAATAAGCCTTTTATTTTATCTTAATTTTTTTATTACTAATATTATTTTTTCATACAAAAAAAGATGTAGGATGGCACCTATGGTTCATTGCTTATTGGCCATGTAATCTCCCTCTACATTTTTAATAAATAATAATAATGATGTCTCTGCAGGGCTAATCACTTTTCAGAGACACAAGTTTCCTTTCATGTTGAAGAAAAAAGTAGCAACTTGAAAATTAAAATACAACTACTAGCAATTATTTATTTTTTCTTTTTTTAAGAAAATAATTCAAAGCCCAAATAATTGTCAGCATAAACAGCAGAATATTACAGTACAAGTTTCCAGATGGATCTATGTAACGTATCTCCTGAAAACTTTGAAGAAAGTCCATGTTTCAGTTTGATTTTCTGCCACAAAAAGTCTAGACAATTTTGGTGTAATTTATAACCACTTGCATCATTGTAACCCTTTTCATACAATAACATCACTTTCAATAGCATTGCAGTAAACCAATATCCCAATATCAGAATTTGAATATGTCATTTGCAACAAACTGGGTGACTTTCCATAAGGAATATCAGTTTGGAGGGGTCACTGGTCCAGGAAAATTCTAATGAAAATCTCTTAGTTTTGTTTTCTCATTTTGAAATGTATCTTTCACTGCCCCTGGATACACTCTGAATTCTGGAATCCTTTACATGAGGAACTGCACTGATGAAAGGGTTAAGTACTTTCACTTTCAATCATAGGTATCATGAACTGGATCAGCTAGAATATATATGGCACATACTTAGTTTTCCCTAGTTTTTGACAGCCTTCACTATTACCACCATATACAATAAATATCTGCATCACAATTTTTAATCCAAACTACAAAATTAGCTCACTCTGATCAGCAAAGAAAGTGACAGAAATATTCATACTCTTCTCTCAGCTGATAAAATCACTTCGTTATATAATTTTCATTTCTATTTGGTTTGCTGATTTATTAGTTTGGCCAGCTGTTTAACCATCTTCACTGAACACTTATCTGGTATAAGTAATTTTTCTCAAACATGAAGTACAGGTACTACTTTGGTTAACAGGAAAGTGCAAATATATTTGGATTTATATCATGTTACTGAGGTGCTATGGAAATATAAGAAATTGATTTAAATAATTAAGTGAATAAAGCTATAACTATGTTTCCATGATTACAGCTAACACTGAATTACTTACCCACATAGTATGTAAATAAATGTAATCTTATTTATCTGTTTATTATTGCAATGTCATCAATTTATATATGGAAAAGAATATTCCTATCTCTTAACACATTATACTTTGTTAACAGTTGCATAACAATTAAACTTTGCAAGAGCAGCTATTGAATTAACACAAATGCACAAATTGCACTGGAACTTACAATGACAGGCATATTTTCAATTTTAATAATCTTTAATATAGTTCATCAAAAAGTACAAATATTCAAACAGCACAAAGCATTGAAGTAGAACTTGATTGTATTTAGTGTTTGGGTTTTTCATGTATATATGAACTAAATAGTGATACTAAATTTCATGCCTTTTGGTCCTGAGCTGTATTTCGAAGATTGTTGAAAAGTTTTAAGTGTAAAGGTTTTAAAGTGCTTTTGAAGTGTGTGCTTAAGATTTTGTTTTGTAGTCTGACGGGGCAGGAGTGTTTACAGTAACTGTCATTTGTATTAATTTATTGACAGGATATGGGGACTTTAGTCATTTAATTCTCATGTAACTGTGTATAATCTGTAATGTAGTGTATATACTCAGTATGTTACATAACACTAATAGATGTATACATTATTTGCGTAGACTGGCAGGATTATTATTTCTTCCCCCAAACCTCCAGCAATATTTCATTACTGACTGCCACAACTTCACCTGCAACATTTTCTTTGAATTACTTAAAGGTGTTCATACTTCATCATCCCATCTTTATAGTCATCACAATCAGAATAAGCATAGTGTATGTATAAATGTTGGCATGTTTGCATATCTGTATGGTAAATTCTTTTCATATTGTTGGAGGAGAATGTCCATCAAATAATAATGCCTAGTCCACATAGATACAACTATATAAAATGTATAGAAAACCAGTATAGATATTGCCATGCACAGGTAATTACAACCATCAGATAACGAGTGATGTTACCTATTCCTATATCCTTGAAATCCTTTTCAGTGTAAAATCCACGCCCTCAATAATTCCATTTCTTCTGTTACTCTTGCAATGAACTCGTGTGTTCCATGGGAGTAGTTGCCAATCAGCCCTATTATGTTGTATATTTTCCTTCACCAAATTAAAATATGTGACCAGCTCCAGGAAAGCCTGGCCTTAGCAGGACATATGGAGTTAATGACAATATTTGGGGAAAGCCTTTGATCCGCTTCAAAATTGTGATTGCATCACATAAATAACACAGGTTAAGGAAAGCATACCTTTGACAAATTAGGCCAAATGATATCATTTTTAGGTCTGAATTACTTCAATAATTGCAGCACTAACCATGATGCTATGGAAAAAGCCTGCCTACACAAGAAGTTGCAAACTGACTCACCCTATTAACTTTTTCTGATGCTGTTTTAAGGGGTATGCTCCCTTGGACATTTAATTTCCACACACCATTCCAGTTTATTGAGCAGCTTATATTTGTAAGTGAGAGTGTGAGAGAGAGAGAGAGAGAGAGAGAGAGAGAGAGAGAGAGAGAGAGAGAGAGAGACAGAGACAGACAGACAGACAGACAGACAGACAGACAGACAGACAGACAGACAGACAGACAGACAGACAGACAGACAGACAGACAGACAGACAGACAGACAGACAGACAGACAGACAGACAGACAGACAGACATGAGTGTGTGAGTGAGTGAGTGAGTGGTTTGAGGTTTTTGAGTGGGAGTGGGAGTCAGTCAGTCAGTCAGTCAGTCAGTCAGTCAGATCAGTGTGTGTGTGTGGGGGGGGGGTGCACACATATGCATAAAAAGTATGTACATACTCCTACACAAACCTGCACACTGTATGACTGCACTCAGTAATCTATCTTATTCCTTCAAGAACGATATTTACGTCTGATAAGATACAATAAGGCATTTATTTATCTTTTTTTTTTTTTTTTTTTTTTTTTTACTATTTTTATCTTCCATTGACAATTACATTTTTTTTTTTTTTTTTTTTTTCCCTTACAAAAACTTTGAAATCTAATCTCACTCAGAAATATTCTAGACAATGTGCAGTGAAGTTGCGGCACCCAGAGTATATCACTACAAAATTATACATCATTTCTAGTTTTTCTTCCATAATTGTGCATCATTTTCCATTGCACATATTTGAGAACTAAAAATATTAACTTTTTTCCATTTCTATTTCTATGCAAACCCAGGTTTAAGTTGATTTACATTTTTCGAGAACTATAACTGTTACATTTTACCCACCAAAAGTAAAACCTGATGCTGATGAAAATAATTTACTATGAAAAAATTACATGACTCATGAATGTTAATTGTTCATTCATTTAAATTATGTTATATCATCCATAAACCTCCCAGAGTTCTTAGCAAGTACCATACTAATATGCTACTTGAAAAGTTTTTCTTTGTAGTAATTTGTTTTATTTTTAAAGAATATGCAAACAGATGTGTTTCTGATGTATGAATTAACCACTGTATAATACATTTCCTGGTCTAGTTATAACCTGATATCCAATATTTATAAATGTAACTGATGACATCTGTAATTTTTTTTAAATCTTTCCCCTAAGTTTTAATTGTTATTGCAAACCCCTGTATAAAAATATTTTAAAGGTGAAACAGGGAAAAAATAAAGTGAAAATTAAATAAAAGGACATTTAAAGAGAAGGAGATATACATATGATCTGAGTATAAAGAGATTTGAAGGTGATGGCTGCTGAACCTTCTTACACATGTTGCTAATGTGTAAGATGTAACCTTTCAATAATAGCTTCCCCATTAAATTAAGCTAATCCTTTATGAGATCTCACCTTTGAAAAAATTGTTCTGAGTGAATCAGCATCAGGTTTCTCTTTCAAAAATTAAATGGTAAATAACAGAAAAAAGTCAAATAAAACAAATAAAGGAAAGCAAGAAATATTCTTAATTTATTTAGAAACTCACCCAATCTCTCACTCTCTCCTCTTTTCCAATCTTGAAAAAAAATGCTGTTAGATACTGCACTAGAATTTGGTATGTTTCATTCTGTGCATATCTTTTTTTCCCAAATCATATATCACAAAGTTTAAAAAGTCTTAAAGAGCAGATCATTCTTCCTTTTATTGACAACCATATAAATAAAAAAAAGAGATTCAAAAAAGTACTCCCTAAAACTGGGATACCATCAAAACAATACAAAAAGTGTTCCTTGACTTCTTAACGCAGCTCCTCACATTTCTGAACACAACTCTTGAGCTTTATTTGGCTACATTAACCTCTCTGAAGATCTTTGCATGAAGATAATGACCTTCAGGATTAAGACAATTATATATTTTTTCTTTTTCTTTTTTTTACTTTACAAAATTCAGGCCATCAAAAAAGTGTTTACATTCATACTATGCATGTCTATGAATGATTGCCTGATACATTCAACCAACTGGCACCATGACATTCATGCAATATTATTGTGTTAATAAATGTAATCACCTCAAAAATATAAAATAGGATTTTTTTCTAACACATAAAAGTTAGTATTTCAAATAGGCAAAAACATAAATATAATTTCAAAGTACCTGGAAACAGTACCATTCTAACTAAAGATATAACTTCAAAGCACAATCAATAAATCTAATCAATTCTGTAAATGCAAGTGCTACCATTCCTGTTTCAAACAAGATCATGTGGCAGTTGACATACAAGAACCTTTGGTATGTTCGTTAATTGTATATACTGCATGATTCATAAAAACAAAATAATGATAATGGTCGTAATAAAGAAGAGACAACTATTATATTGTCATGAACACAGCTGACATATATCAATATGCGACATAATCAAGGTAGTCTATTCAGATTTTAAACTTAGATGTTTATGTAAATATTCTATACTGATAATACACTCTTAAGCAATGTGCGACCTGAGGGTAATATATATTTCGTATGCATATAAAAAATACTTGATTCAGTCGCATATGACGATGGTATATTGTACTCCTCTTTCAAAAAAATATATGACAGTATTATTGAATAAATAAGTAAAAAATGCTCTAAACATCAGTGCCTATATCATATTTAATCAGTCATCTTTAGTTCTGAATGTTAAAAGTATTACATCAACAAAGCATTTGTTACTATGGTACTACACTCAGTGCTGTTGCATACAATATGCACTTTGTTAATTACATAACTCTGCATAAAAACTCTGAGTATAATCACACCCAAACTGTTTTGTAACTGCAAATATTCAACACTTGCTACTTTTCCTGAGGTACTGAAGTTCAGAACTTAACACTGATAAAAATGTCATATGGAGAGCAGGCATCAATGTGCATTAGATAGAGGATGTAACTCTGAAAATATAGAAATATTCAAACATGTGCCAAGAGTGGAATGTTGCCACTTTGTAGGTAAAATCTGCAGTATACAACAAGAAAACATGTGCTGTATAGTTTAAACATTTGAAATCCTATTAACCATATAAAGAAATGTCTAGAAATGAGAGGCAAAAAGCATCTAACATCTTACAAGGAGGGCTTGTCTTTACAAGATCAACATCTCTCTCTGACTAGTAAGAAACATTCATTCAACTGTGGTGAAGTCAGCAGAAAGTCCAGAGGAAGGCAAACTGTAAGAACACTAGTGTTAATCATACCCACACATATGCTGAACACATAGACATACTCCACAGCTATGAGTATGTTCATAATTACAAGGTTTTAGTGAAACATTTACAAAAGGGCCTTGATATAACACTCTTTAGACAGTTGAGGTAGCTAACTGCCTTATGAAACTATCACAAAATATTACAGAATAACAAATTGAGTTAGTGAGTGTTATATGAAGGAACTCATCAACATACACATCGCCAACACTCAATGCCAAGGCATATAGCTGCCTCTAAGGTACCGTAACTGTGCGATCTAGTGAACACTATGAAGCTGATAAACTGTGTTTCCCAGGACCCTGGTATTAACAGTGATAAGGTTAGGCACATGAAGCTTCAGATATGGTTTACAAATGTCTTAAAAGTTATGGCAAACACAAAAAATGACACAAAATAGTGGAGTAAATCCCTATCCAAGGCCTAATATACCGACCTCATCAACACGAGTGCTGATACCCAAGACATTGGCAGTCAGGGACAGTTCTGTACATGATTAGTTGAGTTTAATACTATCTAGAGTATGAAACACTGATTAAGTTGCTACATTTAAACATTTAACAAATTTTTATTACCTACCAATTGATTTGTCTTTTTTTTATTGACGGTTTTAAGGGTTCTTTTTTACAGATTAAACTTTTCAACACATTTCTGTTCATTAGTTGTCTGTTTTGGTGATAATCACCTGATTCTGATTGTAAAGATTGCACAGACTGACTGACTTTATAGATGCATATACTAATTCTGTCAAAACATGTATCATCTGCGTCTATAGAATGAAATGGCTTCTACCAACTGACTGCTAAATGGCATCTATGGATTGATATATTGGATGAATCCTACTGCTTACTAACTGCATACAGGGGTGGGAATACTATCCAACTGCCTGGCAAAAATCTCACTTACCAAACATGGTTTCAGCCATACAAAATCACAGTACTTTTTTTACATTAAAGCCCTTAAAAGTTTTTCTTCTTTATAAACAATACAAAATTCTATCTACATTCATTTGGACAATTCTATTTAATTCTGAGAAAAAGGCATTTTAACTTTATCATCAAAATCACCTATGCGCCTTCAAATACATGATTCTGGCCAGGAATGGCAGTCTACTTTCTACTGTACTTCAAAAAAGTGAAAGAAAAATGATCACAGACAAAGTTATTAAAAGGAAATGAATGACATCCAAAGCAACAGTATCTAAAAAAACATGACATCTAATCATGACTACATTATCACAGGTAGGGAGGAAAAATCTGTATGGAACATGACATTTGACAGTACATGTAAGATCCAACTGTGTATAAAAGTAATGAAAGCTTCAATTTTAGACCTTTTTTCTTATACATTTTTTTCCTTTTTTCAATAAACTATAATCATGATAAAGAAAAAAATAATACAGCATAGGAAAAACAAATTATAAGTCAATCTATTTATCCCCAATATCATTGATACTATACATACATATAAAAATAATATACCCCCAAAAATAATATGAATGGAAATAAAAAGTGAAAATATTTGTAACAGTAAGTGCATCAATCCCACCCTTAATATTAGATTTCCATAGAGATTCTACAAGCGTTTCAAGACAACCGTGAAAATTCAAACTTCAAGAAACGATCATACGGCTGAAGTCACCTCCTTCACTTTCCTCTTATCTTTACTCTCCTTCCTCTCTTTGGTTTCTTTCCCATTCTCTTTACTTTTTTCTTTCTGTTTCACATCTTTACTTCTATCTTTGCTCTCTTTCTCACTTTTACTCCTATCCTTGGCATCTTTGTTTCTCTCTTTCTTTGACTTTTTTCTTTTGTTGGGTTTGGGTGATTTGCCAAGAAACAAAGCTTCATGGAAGTCATCGGAACTTAAGTTTGATTCTTCAACATGCAAGACAGAGCTGAGGGCACCATCAGTTGGGGACTTAGGAAACTGGAACACTAAACGACCCTTTTCAGGCTCAGATGCCGACCTTGAGACACGCAATTCACCCAGGAGGAAGGGTGATGTAGCTCTGGTGGCTTGGAGGGATAAGGAAGAGAGATGAAGACACGTGCCGGTTGTCCGTGCTGAAACTCTCGAGGAAAGAGTGGCTGAGCTTGGAACCACGAGGGACGAGGAACGAGAACGACTATAGATCGGCAGGGGCGAAATGTCCAGCCTTGCCTCTCCTCGCGACCTAGGTTCAGGTGTGCAGCATAAAGGAAGCGTCAAGCTAGGAGAACGTGTCTCTCGGTGTTGAACTTTGGGTGACCGCGGCTCAGGGGAACGGCAAATAGAAACACCACTTATGTACAATGTGGGTGAATTTGGTATACCAGTTTCTGATTCATACTCATTTGAACTCTGATTTTCTAGTTTAGAGGAATGAGAAATGTGAATTCTAAGGCTTTTCACTTTCGACGGGGCACTACTACTCTGCTCAGTGGAGTTACTTTCATCTTTATCTGTTCCTTCATCTACAACCAACTGAAAAGACGGCTCATGTTGCTGGAACACAGAATCATGATTGAGGCTACTAACACTCATGCTGCAGTGTGGATCCATGGGATTGTCTAGGTGGCTCAAGATACCCCGCACCTCAAGATCCATCAAGGGGGAGTCCATGTCTCCAATGATTTCAGATGCTGCCCCAGGATCAGTGTTTTCGATGTCACCGCTTTCCGACTCCATGTCCAAGCTGTCCTGCTTCGGTTTGGACAGTCTTAACCTCGCCGTCTCCTCAGGATGATCCTGATGTACATGATCAGAATCAATCATGCACTCTGGCTCCTCTGAATTCTTCAGATCCCCCAAAGACTGAGATCTCCGGAGGTCCCTTCTGCCGTCCAGGGAAGGACCCGGGATTAGCAAGTGTCCATTTTCATGCAGATCACCATACTCAAAATGGCCATCTTCTACTTCATTGGGAGCTTTGGGGAAGCACAACAGATCTTTCTCTGTTTTGTTGTCCCATTCCTTGTCTACATTAAGGTTTCTGTGGGTTGAGAAAAGACTAAATTTTCTGGGTTAAAGATTCATGAGTACAGATCCCTGAACATCTGTTCTCTATTTTTTGTCTTTAATGTTCCCTTTTACACACACACACAAATAAAAAAATAAAACAATAAATAAAAAATAATAACAACTGTGCCATTAACATATTACAAATTTTAAACATCCATTACATTTGGTTTCATCTATACTTACTTTATAATCATTACTTACATCAAGCTCTCACAAAAGTAGTCCTCTATTTTCAAAGCACTTGAGAAGCATTAGTAAGTATAAATATTGACTGGTATATATTAAATGCAAAGAGTAGTTAAAAAACATGTACCCACCTTAAACTTATCTCCTTATTTGCAAGTTTCTTCAAGAAATAATCCACAGCAATCTCTGCACTGGTGGGCTGGCATGAAGCTGCTCCTTCCACCCCATCCACCCCTGGCCATGCAGAAGCTTCATCTCGACCCGTAACCCGACTTGCAACATAGGCAGCTTCATATCCAAGGATATTCCCCGCAAGAGTAGCTCCGGGCAGGCTAGCACTGCAGC